CCCCGCTCTCCTCCCCCCCCAAAAAAAATAATTAAAAAAAATGGCGGGGTGCCGACCACCCCCAACCGGTAGGTGCAGAGCAGCCGATTGGTCAGCGGGTCGGCAGCCGACCAGTCAAGGGCCGCCAACCGTCGGGGGGTGCAACCCTGTAGCACAGCAAAAAGTGTCGACAAACCGGCGAAATAGGGTGAGCAATCTGACCCTTGGTTAAAATCCGGACTTCTGGACAGCAAAAGTCTTCCAGACCATCTGGATGTCTGCGCCTGGATACCCAGGTCTTGGTGCTGTCCGGATGAACTAAAATTATATTAATTTCCGAAAATCCAACAATTTTATTTGAATCCACAGAAAAAGATACGCTGTGGAGCATTGCTCTACAAACAACTTTTGGTTGATGATCATCTGGGCTGTCTGATTCCACACCGTCAAGATCCAGAATGTCCGCATCCAGACCGCCCACGTATATTTAGGTCCGGCTCAGGGGGGGGGGGGAGCGGGGGGTAACCGTTATCTCACTTAGACAAAACATTCATTCAACTGTGAGTTTGTGAATATCATCTGGACCGACTGGATCTCGACCGTCACAACCCAGACGGTCTGGTCTCAATCCAGACGACGGTCTGGACAATCGCCGTATATCCAGGTCCAGCTCCGTGGTAGTAACCATTACCTCACTGAAACAAAGAACATACAATGTCATCCCAAACTTCATAGCATCACATTACTCAACCATGATCTCACTTAGTACTTAAACAAAACATGCATTCAACTGTGACTATCATCTGGACCGTCTGGATTCAGACCACCATGATCTACACGGTCCTCTCGATCCACATGGTCTGGACCATCCCGGTATATCCAGGAGCAGCTCCAAGGTAATCATGATCTCACTGAAGCGGAGAGAACACGCATTAATGTCCACAGCATCACATTACTCTGCTACATGCATTCAAAATAGCAGACGCTCATACAACTGCAGTTGTGTGCACTCTGCCACCATGCATCTACAGATTCTACACACACACACACGATTATATTAGTTGAAGATCTGAGAAGAAATGAACAGGAATACACCTCCGCCTTTGCTCTGCCTCCTTTCATATTGTGCAAGTGGGCTGCTATGGCACACGGGGATGTGGGCAGCTCGCGCTCAACCACAATCAACGTGGCCAGCCTTGTGCATGAGAGAGGCGCGGTAAAGGGGGAGCTTCTCCGAGAACAAATGAAAGGGGTAGTACCCCAGAGAAACCAAACAAACGTAAACACACAATCAAGAAACTTAGGTGTTTACATGCCTCTATTGTACTTCATGTTGCTTGCTTGCTATAGAGGTGAAAACTGTTTCATTGTTGTTGGATTGCCTCAACTCGAAAAGGGCTTTCGTTGTCATCAATAGGATTGAATTATTTATGCTTTGATTTTGGATTTTGGATCTGCTCATCTGCCAGTGGTGGAATAGGGGCTGTTGTGGTGAAAATTCAAAACACACACACACACACACACACACACACACACACACACACAACAC